TCGAGCACCCCCCCCCCCTCCTTTCTCTTGATATAAGTGAGTGCTAATTCATAATGAAAATATAAGGAATCAACTTAATTGATATTACTTAAATTATTTGAAAGTGCCACTTTAATGACTTTATTTTACCAATGATCATTCAAACGCTTGATCCGTTTTCAATTTGTAATTGGTTTCTGCACACGGAAATATGTAAACATGAAGTGTAGGATGGAAAACAAGGTGGAACGAAGGGGGTGGAGCGAAAATGTTAATTACTGCATCAAAGGAATGCATTTGATCCTCAAGACTTAAATTTAATTGGTAATTGGTCACTAATTAAAGGAATGCAAGGTCTGTAATAACTACAGTTTAATTGAAGTATTAACAACTAAATTTAATAATAATCAAGAGAGATAGGACAGTTAATCCCGCAACAATTTCTAATAAAATAAATAGACAAATATGAGTTTGATTAGTTTAAAGTTTGAATGGTAAATTTGAAAAAAAAGCCCTTTGAAATAGTCCGACTCCGACTTTTCCGAAAGATAGTGTCTACCATTTCAATTCTATTTCTGGTTTAGAATTAGCCGATCTTCCTTTTATCTAATCTCCTAATTTAAATTCTTAATTGGCTATTAAAAATGCAGAGTATCTAGCTAGATATTAAAGATAACTGAGGAGGAAAAATTTATTTTTAAGAAATTATGGTAAAAAAAAAATGTGATCCTGTTAATATTTTGTTTCACTTTCTGCAAACAGTAGTAAGCGTATTTTTTCAATTCGTGAATGATCGCAAATTCATTTTTGCATCAAAGCCTATTTATTTTAAGATGGAGCAAAATATTTATAATCTATTTATATCAAATGGCATGCGTTTTGATAGCTATCATTAGTCCCATAGTTGACTTCAGGCTTCACAGAGGGGGAAGAAACATCAAAGTAAACAATGTTGAGAGGACGGGAACAGAAGGGTGTTTCAAAGACGTAAAGAGCCAGACATAAGGGTAAAAAAGGTGAGTTGAGTACTATAGAAGAATTCGGATATGACATACAGTGGAGTGATGGTAGTTTGAAGTTAGAAGTCAACTGCCGGTTTATGGACTTTTTTGCCGCATGAGTATATATTCCTCAGGGTGCACCACGTGGAGGTAGGTCTGTCGTGCACTCCGGCTACTGTAAATACACATTCAAAAATATTTCTTCCTTAAAGTAATAAAGATCTTATGAAATTTGAGGGGAGTATGCTTTTGAAATGGCATCAAATTAATAATGGTCAGTTTAGGGTTGCAATAAGAGATTGTATATTAGCAATAGCTCTAGATTGAAATCCTCACCTATAAGCCCTTTTCTCTTCAACAACGCAGGTTCCTCCTTGGGAACGAAACTGATCCGCACAACTTAAAAAAGACATTATTCAAACTGGATCAGAACAATATTAACGATTTGTTCTCCAAATTGAGCCTTCTATTTAAACTGTGGGCCATCTAAATTCATTGCACCTTGTTCTATATAACTCGATTCTATTCCTCACAGAAGAAAATCATTTTCGGGTGTTTACGTGTAAATAGGTAAATAAATTAATTCGGTTGTGTACATTTAAAAATCTCATTTTCTAGTGGAACTTATTTGGCCATATATCTCAATGACGCATGTGGGTTTAATGTTTCATTTCAAATTTTAGGAAAATTAATACTGATAAATTATATTTTAGCTAAGACTATAAATATGCGTTTATATTTTTTCTAGATATTTATTGCCAATTTAATTTTTTACCCTGGTTTTACTCCTTAGAAAAGACGGCTTTCATTTTCATTTACCATAGTCACTTAGTGAATTAATCTTAATTTAATTTTAATAACTTAATATTAGTAAACAGGGGTGTGCGAAAGACTTACCTCCACGTGGTGCACCATGGGCAACGTATACTCATACGGTATAAAAGGCCATTAACTGGCAGTTGACTTCTCACTTCAAACTACCAACACTCCACTGTATGCCACATTTGACCCCTTTCACAGTACTCACCTCACCTTTTTCCACCATTGTGTCTGCCTGTCTCTTCTACATCTGTGAATCATTATTCTGCCCCCCCCCCCACTCTCGACTTTTTGTCACTTTGATGTTCCTCCTTCTCTATGTTAAGCCCGAAGTCAGCTAAATGGCTATGGATAACTATCAAAACGCCTGCCATTAAAAATAAATAAATATTGGTAAACAAGTCTGTAGGTATACGTTGTAAATCTATAAAATTGCATATCAATCAATTAGTACCTTGGCAAACCAAAATAATATTAAATGTGGCAGGAGGACAAAGTGACGTGGAGAATGGAGCAGAGGGGTTGTCGGCTAGACACCAGGTATTTCTGATCTGTATTTGAATCAAAGGCTAGGATGAAGAAGTGAACAAAATTCATAGCTGAGGACGTCCGCTTGGGCGTAAAATTCAGTTAACGATAAGCTTTAACGCAAAACTTCAGTCAAGCCTCTGTTATTGAATTAGGCTAAAGAAAAACTGACATGCGACCCATGATCGGCGTCCCTTTCTACTCATCTATTACGTTTGGGTTTGGACTCTAATCATTTTAATACTTTGTTCATCAGCCAGAAAGCAATAAAAGATCACTGATTAAAGTTCGTGTAATCACTGGACGCCTTGTCATAGGTATTTTATCGCTAAAAATTAAATTTTAAAGGGTAAAAAAATTAGCCTAATTCAATATGATGATTTCGGGAGAGACTAGAGTTGATTAACTCATTAATCATTGATGAAATTCAGCTTAGTTCCGGGGGCCTACAAAATTGGCTATCCAGGCAAACAAATTAAAGGCCACCATTTTAATCAGCCATCACCTCTAACCCGTCCTATACGCGAATATAACTACGTTCTTTTGGCACTCACTTTCTGCTCGGTTTCCGTCAGCGTCTGTCTTAGAGGGCTATGCACATATTCTCCTCTGAGACGAGCACTTTGACGGCTCCAATGTGGAGGTTCAGATATCTAGTCAGCCTGCCAGCGCGCAACTGGAATTGACAATCATATGCTCTACAGTGTATGATATCAAGTCTTCTTTTAATTAACTTTTTTCACCATAATGGTGCCTGCGTCTGGATAAAATTAATCTTCAATAGGTAATTTATATACAGGTGCGCGGACAAAAAGAAAGAGCACAAGTATTTTTGCGATTCGCTCATTGACAATAACCCCTAACCATGTTCAATTGGTTGGATCCACTTGAAGATCAACAGCTTCTGTCTATCAGTCTTCAAGTGCGTGTTTCTAACCCCATGCTTGCAGCGCAATTACGGGTGGTTTGCTGTCGAGGAAAAGATATATTCTGTCGGTTGAGTACTAGTTTTCCATAGCAGACGCAACTCAATATTGAAGTGAAGAAGAGAAGATTAGTTTCAGCACCTTAAAGGGCATCCATAAAATTCTACGAGCATAATTCCCCTAGCAAATGAATTGCTATTTTCCAAACCAAAACCACGGAATAGTTTCTGTAGGCACCATGACAACTTATTGAATTAGTTAAATGTTTGGATTACAGGTATTTTCTCTTCTCTACAATACATCTGAGAAGAGCCAGCAAACATTTCAATAACGGCCTAACCTGCTCAAAATCTCCCCCCCCCCCCCTCCCCTCCAGAACATACCGACGCCAATTTTGGACCACCGATTTGCAAAACTCAGAGGTGCTCAAAAAATCAATATCACTTTCTTCATATAATAGATGTGAACGATTTGCGTAGAAAAGAAGGACGGACAAAACACATTGCTTATGCAGATGAATGCACACACACACACACACACACACATCACACTCTGAAGACAAGTCAAAAGGCATACATAGAGACAAATAAGAGTGAGCACATTTAAGGCGGCAAAGACTCGTTAAGACGAGGGGTAAGATACAGGGAGAAAAAATCGATTGAAAAACAAAAACGACGGAATACCGGAGGGCAGGAGTACGAATCGAGGCACAGGTGGGGGAGGGGGGAGGGTAAAACCGATCACAGACTCAAAGTAGGGATCAACTCCGTAGGTCAGGAGGGGGGCAACATTTTGGCAAATTGACCACTACTTTTTGCGGCCACCACTGGAGTATTAAACCACGAGCGACGCTCCTCCACCTTTTGTCGAATTAGGTATTCATCCTTCTTTGATAAACGGAGAACTGTCGCCACTGCACGAACCAGTTGTAGGGCCTAGAAACAAAATGTAAAATGTTTGGTAAGAACAAGATTTTTGGGGATAACGCTCTCAAAGCATGTCGATCTCTATAGTCCAAAAGCCAATGTAGAAACAGAACATTGAAAGTACTAAAGAGGAAGTCAACTCAAAGTCAAGTAAGTCTATAGATCGATATGATTAACAAGGCCAAATTAGCAAAAAAATATCCATTTCAGTCTCCAAGAGCATAGATACATGCACAAAGAATCCGGACAAAATAAGTAATAGACAATCGAGTAATGTTTCTTGTAAAGAGGCAAATGAGCTCAACCTCAAAACGCCGAAGAGAACACACGTCAGACAGACGTTTGCATGCTCCTTTTCCCTCAACAGTTCTTGTGCATGCGCCATTACTGAAATTTATGATCGCTTACCTACAGACCGACGATGTGCAACCCATCAATTCTCCCCTCTCCCCTCCCCACTAACGCTCTATCTCTCTCCCTCAGCCCAACTAAGGTGAGAAGAGAAACTAGTACTTTCCCCTGTTTTCGTGTCAACAGGTAATTTACCCATTTCTTGACAACTTGCTACTGAATCCCAAAAGTGGGTCCTTCACGACAAAGTAAGCTTGAGTAAGTTATTGTGGTCTTCAAACCAAACACACACCCACCTCATTACCTGAGCCAAATCAGAGTTGATGCTTGAATACTTCTTCCAAATACTTGGAGAGAAGTACATGGAAAAATGCACTACAGAGTGCAATGTTCGGGCGAATGTGTCCCAGCCGACGTTTATTACTTTCTTTAGAGATGGGGAAGAGTAAACCACCACCTATTGAACGATAAGTGTTCAAGCTAACTTGGACGGAAAGCTATAATTCCTAAACATGGTAATGCCCACCCGTCTGCCCACCCACTAACCCTCAGAAGAAACACCTCCCGAGCACATCACTCACACAAGCATTCAAGACAGAAATGACCTAACAAGAATTTGACGATAAGAATT